GAGACAACAATGACAATAGGAAAATTAAAATAATTATAGAGAAATTGAGGTACAAGAGAAATATTAACAGGAGGGAAGTGAGAATCACAATAATATCAGCTAAAAAATCAAATCAAAGTCCAAAAGAGAAAGAGAAAAAGGTAAATATTTCACTTTGATAAAAGTAGCAGGCTCAATTCCCAGTGGGGGCCATGCAGGAGGCAGCAGATCAATGTTTCTTTCTCATCAATATTTCTATCTCTCTAGCATTCTCATTTCTCCTCTCTATAAAATCTATAAAACCATATGAAAAAACCCCACAAAGCATTCCATTGTGCCTGTCTGTGCAGATGTACGTTCTGGCTTCTCCTTTGTCCAAATGATACTTACTTCTTTAATGACAAGTCTTACTATTTGACAGAATCTCTTCTCCCATCTTCATGAATGTTTTGGCTATTCTAGAACCCCTGCTGCTTTATATAATTCTAGTACCAGATGGTCAATTAAAAAAAAAAAAAAAAGAAAAAGGAAAAGAAAAAGAAACCTCTTGGGATTTAAACCACAAATAAACTCTCCATTTTTTTAGATCTTCTTAATTTCTCTGTACTATGTTTGATCTTTTTCTAGATAAAGGCTTGCACATCTTTCATTCTTACTAGGCACATGATTCTCTTTGATACTTTAAGAAAAATCACATATTAAAAATTTTATTGTCTAACTATGTTGTTAACATATAAAAATACTTAATTTTTAAAATGTTGACCTTGTATTCCTCAATCGTGGTAAACTCACTTTTTAATTCTTTTTCTAAAATATATTTTATTGATTTTGTACAGAGAGGAAGGGAGAGAGATAGAGAGTTAGAAACATCGATGAGAGAGAGTCATCGATCAGCTGCCTCTTGCACACCCCCTACTGGGGATATGCCCGCAACCAAGGTACATGCCCTTGACTGGAATCGAACCCGGGACCCTTCAGTCCCCAAGCCGAAGCTCTATCCATTGAGCCAAACTGGTCTCGGCTCACTTTTTAATTCTTATAATGTATGTAGCAATTCATTCTTGAATGATTATTTTACTTTCATTTTGAGTCTTGAAACTTTTAATTAATTAAGTAATGAATTAATTAGATCTCTGGTTCAATCTGAAGGAGGCAGTGAGAGTGGGCATGCTTATTTTGTTCTTCAGCACAAAGAGAAGTCTCTTTCTCCATTTCTTTCTATTTGTAAATGCTATTGAAAGGCTTATAAGATGAGCATATTCCTGGCTCAATATGACAAATTCTCTGCATCATTAATGTATCAGTTCTAGAGAGTCCCATTTGAAATCCTTAGAGTCTATTTTATAGGCCTTGATAAACTGATTAAAAATATTTAAAGGAGAATGTATGTATGCAAGAATTGCCAAGGAATTTTTTGGAGAGCGAAAACAGTGAGAGGATTTGGGATAGATATTAAAACACATTTGTCTTAGGTCAGCTACCCTAGAAGCAGAGCTGAAGACAGGGAGTCTTGTTTGGGTATTTGGAGGGGGTGTGTGTCTTTGAGAGAAGCAAGACTAGATAAGGGAAACATGTTAATCAGTCATATGGCCTCAGCAAGAGTTTGGCTACAGTCTGATCCTATGGGAGAAGCTCTGGATGACAAATTGCATTTACAAAATGAGTCCTATTTTGATGTAAGGGGATTGTCCTGTCCTTTAATATCCTTATGCCAATGACTCACTCCTGAGGTGTGTTCTGGCGGGGGTGGGATGCTGTGTATTTTCCGGCAGGTGGTTTCCATTTAACTAAGAGTCATTTGACAGAAGGGCAGCTGTAAATTATCATTCAAACCAGTAATTGGGTGATAGAAACACTGGCTGGTTAAGAGAATCGGGGTGGGACCCCAGCAACATCCACGGCATTGTAGGCTAGAGACAAAAATATTATAAGTCAGTATTAGTAATAGACATGTAGAGGTTGTGCCAAACTTGGGATGGGATAGGGAACTCATCAGTACTCTGATTCAAGGCTTAATTATCTTCTTTCCTCATTCCTAAGCATAGAAACCATTCTTATAGTTTCTAATTATTAACATATCTACCTTTAGTACATTTTTGTTATTAGAAGGGGAAAGGATCCAATGCTTGAAGATTTTGATGACATTGAAAATTATGGTTAGAAAGATTAAGGACAGGCATCTGTAACCAGATAGAGAAATTTTGGTGTCCAATTAAATTTTGGTTACAGCTGTAGTCCCTGGTGGTGGCAACCCCCACAATATGGCCATGTATATGGGTTTCCAGAGGAGAGGGGAGGCGAGTGTCAGGAAGTGAGAGATAGACGTTGACCTGGAATGTGAAGATGTACAGAGGGTTGCCTAGGGGGACAGGAAGACCATGTGCCAAGCATCAGAGTGCAGGGCTATGGTTGGGGACAGGATGACAAAGATTTTGTAAGTCTAAAAAGGGACATTGGAAGTGAAGGAAGAACGGCTTGGAAGAAGCAAGAGTAGAGAGATGACAAATGGGCACCTTGCTTTCTGATCTCAAGATTTGAGTGACGTCTGCCTGTGAAGACTTTGTAGGGTGTGGTGGTCTCAGGGAAAGCCAGGCATCCCTGTGAGAGCCGGATGATAGAGAAAATGCTTTAGGAAGAAACAGAGAGCAAATGGAAATAGCTGGATATTGGAACAGGGATTCTAGGGTCCCAGAGAAAGGAATTAGAAGACATACTGATAGGAATATCCTATATAATAAAAGTCTAATATGCAAATTGACCATCATGCCAACACACAAGATGGCTGCCCCAATGTGGTCAAAGATGGCCACCCACATGTGGATACAAGATGGCTACCACAAGATAGCTAGCAGGGAAGGGCAGTCGTGGGTGATCAGTCATACAAGGGAAGGCAGTTAGTGGTGACTGGACCAGCAGAGGAGGGCAGTTGGGGCTTCCAGGCTGGCAAGGGAGGACAGTTAGGGGTATCCAGGCCTGCAGGGGAGGACAGTTCGGGGTGACCAGGCTGGCAGGGGCAGGCAGTTAGGGGCAATCGGGCTGACAGGGGAGCAGTTAGGCATTTAACAGGCTGGCAGGGGAATGGTTAGGGGGTGATTAGCCTTGCAGGCTGATGTGGTTAGGGACAATCAGACAGGCAGGCAGACTATTGGTTGGGAGCCAGCAGTCCTGGATTGTGAGAGGGATGTCCAACTGCCCATTTAGGCCTGATCCAAAGGGGTCCCAGATTGAAGAGAGTGCAGGCTGGACTGAGGGATATCCCCCACCCCTGTGCACCAATTTCATGCACCAGGCCTCTATTTAAAACATAAAACATAATTGTCAACCCAAGGAGTCCATACCATTTTTAAAAAGAGTTTATTTATTGGGGGTGACAATGATTAATAAAATTATATATATTTCAAGAATACAATTCTATGATACATCATCTGTATATTGCATTGCATGTTAACCACCCAAAGTAAAATCTTCTTCTGTCACCATTTGTCTGACCCCTTTACTACCCAACTTCTTTTTGGTAATGTGTCTATGAGTTTTTGTTTATTTTTTCATTTCATTGGCATCCAGGGTTGACTCCATAACTAAGTGCTAATAAGTGCTAATTAATTCTTTCCAAATCTTCCTCAATTTGCACATTTATCAGAGAGAGTTAGAAAACAAAGTTAATTATATACAGCTTTGAATTTGCTTTAAAGAGGTGTAATCAAAATAATTTTTTAAAAAGCAAACAATGAGTATTGAGATTGGCACAGGTATCAGCCAGCCCTTAGAAGCTGTATCACTGAGATAAGTTGCTTCCTTAAGCAGACATTCACATGAGAGGGAAGAGCTTAGATATCCTTCTATTGTAGATTTGCTGCTTGGTAATGTGATGAACCTCCACACCATCAGTCCAAGCACTGTGTCCTTTAATGAACTTGTAGAGCCAGTAAGTGTGCCCCAGGATTGGTAGGAAAAACTGGAATTTGGAGCTAGAACTTCCTGTGAGTTTTTTTTTTTTTTTTTTTTTTTTTTTTTTTTTTTTTTTTTTGTAGTGTTGTTTTCCTGAGGTCAGTGAGCTTGTTGGGTGTTTATGAATTATTGATGCTTAGCCCAATGTTTGCTACATAATAGATTCTCAATAAATGTTTATTTAATGAATTAAAATGAGAGACATCATAATTAATAAACAGAATACTTGAGAACAAGAGCTAGTGTGTGTGTGTGTGTGTGTGTGTGTGTGTGTGTGTGTGTGTGTTTGGCTGACTGCCCAAACTTTTCTCATGACTTTTTCTCACTACATTTCTGGCAAGATAGTTCCCCCCCACCCCCATTTTTTTCTTTGCATTTGGCACCCCCCACATAATGAACCACAAATTTAACTTAATTACAGAGTCTGGGCTTGTCAGGACATAGCTCTGTACATCTGTGGTAAATAAGTATGCATTGATTCAGAGCTTCCTGTGGCCATAAACCACTGGTTCCCAACCTCAGCTGCACATTAAGTCACCTGGGGTGATAAAAACTCTGATGCGTGGTTCCCAACCCAGTGATGCTGACTCAGTTGCGTGGGGTTTGGGCATAGATCTTTTTTCCCGTTTTAGTTCCCCAGGAGATTTTAATGAGCACCATTTTAAGGTGGGAACCAGTTCTTCTCAGAGGAATCCCTGATATCATTAGGGTTGAAGGCCCTCTCAAAGTATCCCCCTGGTTGGGTAATAATTCATTTAACTTGGCTGTTCTAATGCTGTGTGTGGTCCTGGGTTGAGCTACTGTGTTTGGTTTAATTTTGTTTTCTGGTTAATTTAGATCTCTTTATACTTGGATCCCCAAAAGAATTTCTAAGAGATTTGGGAGAAGTGAGAAATTGCAGCTCTCTTCCTCTAAGTTTAATGTGTATCGTATCTGAGCTACAGTTCACAATGCATTTACTGACAACTTCAAGTGCATAACTTCATGGCCTTGAAGGAAACAGAAAATGCAATCCTCAATTTTGTCATAAACCTTGCATGCTAATTTTATGAAGGGCATCATCATTGAGAAACCAAAGGTTGTTTCACTGGAAATGCAAAAATGGTAATGACTAGGGAGAGGCAGAGGGAGAGAGATATAAATTAAAGATGTAAATTACTCATGTTACACGTGCTTCACAGGTCCATGCTCAGACACCTCTGTCTCCCCAGAAGCCAGGTAAGTTCTCTCTCCAGCTCCCACTGAAGACATTTTGTGTTTTGAGAATGTTTGTTGATTTGAAAGAAGATTTTTTATAGTGGGTAACTTTCTTGGGGTGGTTTTATTTACTTCAGTGTCTACATAGCCTTGAGACAGTTTCTTCTTCATGTTGTTTGATAGCAGGTTAATTCATTGTATTTCTGGGTTCACCTGCAAGGAGTCCCTGTGAGGAAGTCCAGGGGTGAAATGGAAGTTTGAACAGCAGATGTCAGATGTCTTAGCTAGCAGTGTGGGTCCTTGGTTGCAAAGAACCTTCCAAAGTCTGTAGGCTGTCAAAACAATTTATTCTGCCTTAATCTCACTCTTGTTTTAGGATTTTTTTTTTCTTAAAGCCTTTATTAACCAATTATAACATACCTAGCTGGAAATGAAGGAAATATAGAAAGAAAAAAGAGAAAATATAAAATGTATTTTATTTGTGGTAAATATTAATTGTTCTTAAAATTTTGTTTGATGAGATAAAAGCAATGTAAATTTACTATATAAACTTGAAAAACTGTAGAAAATTAAAATAAAAGAAAAATATAAAAAGGAAACTCTTTCACTTCCACTTAATCCATGGCTAGAGATATGTCATTACCGTTGAGGAAAACTTGAGCCCAGAATCAAGTTTTCATGCAGTTTGGGGTTGGAGTTTAAGAGAATTCATGTATCATCTCTGCATAGGATTTTGAATCAATTGAGAAAGTGTTAGAGAAGGACACACTCTTGGCTTTATTGTTGTTATGTCTGGGCCAGAGAACACAGCTTGAATCCAAGGCCTCGGGACTTTCCTCTGGCTTCCCCTTGCCTGGTTGTGGGTGCAGCATCTGGGCAAGCCAGACAAGGAGGGCAGGCACTGGACCTGCTGGGAGCTTACCTCAGGGAGGAGGTGGCAGGCAGGCAGATACAGGCAGGTCTGACAGAGAGCAAGAGAGAATCAAACCAAGGCCATCATCTAGCTCCCTTCAGAAATGAGAATTGAGAAGCACCAGGTGGTGCCCAGCTGATGCACATCTCCGGTCAAGAGAAGGCTACGTTAAGGGGTGAGAAGCAGGCCACAGGGACTTTTCTATCTTTTTTTTCTTCTCTTTAAAGAAAACATTATACTGAGGTATAATGGATATGCCAAAAGCTTACATATTTAATCTATACAACTTAATCACTGTGATCAAGACCATAAGCATATGTATCACCTTCAGAAGGGTTTGTAGCTATTATCCTTGTCAGAGGCAATACTGTCTAAAATACTCTCTGAGAGCTCTGCAGCTCAAATCTCAGTATCTGAATTTAATTTGTTTATTGACATATTCCATAGCCCCTCTTTCTGGATCAATGCAGAAAGAAAAGCAAGAAGGGTTCCCTTCTTAAGCAATTCCAACAAGTGCTTATTTGGTTTTTCTTTTCAAAAAATTATTTTTCAATTACAGTTCACATTCAATATTATTTTGTATTAGTGTTGCTTCTTGTTGCTATTCTAGATCTCACTAGAATCATCATGGAATCACTTGGCGCACTGACCTTTGGGTTTAATCTTTTCAAAGAACTGAATAGAGAAAATAATGGCAACATCTTCTTTTCCCCTGCGAGCATCTTAGCGGCTGTTGGCATGCTCCTCTTGCGAACCCGGGGAGCCCCCGCTGCCCAGCTGCAGAAGGTAGGTAGGGTGGCGGCCATGGCTTTTCAGGCAGCCTCTTTGCTGGGATGAGCCTTTGGAAATTGCCTCGAGAACATGAACTTTTTGACCCTTGAGCCAGGATACAAATTAAGCGTGTGAGGACGTGAAGTAGTTTTAGGCTTATCTCTTTCCTCTCCAAATTCCACCCTGCTATCTGCTCCTGGTGCATGAAGTTCCTCCAGGTGAGGGCTGGGTGAGGCCATGTCCAAAGACATTATCCTGATAATTAAAGACAGAACCAGGCTGACTGGGAAAAGTTGCATAATTCCCACTGGGGTATAAACGACACATCAAAGATGAATACATGCAAGGGTGAACCAATTTAAGCTCCTTTGAAGAGAGCCAGAGCTTTTCATGATTTTGCAAGGAGATAACTTGTGTGACACTGAGGAGTCTTTAGCAAATTTCCAAATTCCCTGGTTGATTCTGTGTGGAGTTTCCTCTGCTCTAATCCCCACCATGATATTTTCTGTCTTTTCTAGGTGCCTCTCTCTGAAAAAGACACAGATAGCTCAAGAATCAAAGCTGAAGAAAAAGAGGTGGGAGACATGTCTTACCAACTGCATTAAGGTGGCTTAGTAGATGTGGGCTCACTAGGGAAATGTGTAGAAGAGGTACTACTTCATGCTTATTAAAAAAAAAAAATCTTTATTGTTGAAAGTATTACTCATGTCCCCTTCTAGTCTATCCCCAATCCCAACCCCACCCCAGATCTCCACCACCCTATTTCTGTCTTCATAGGTTATGCATGTATGCAAACAAGTTTGTTGGTTGATCTCTTCCCTTCCACTCACCCACCTCAACCTCCCCTCTGATATTTGACAGTCTGTTCCATGCTTCTATAGCAGAAATAATCACAGCAGTGCAATAGTGTTACTAGGATTATCTATACTAATAAAAGGGTAATATGCTAATTAGACTGGATATCTTCAGTACATCCTTCCAGATAAAGCCATGGTGGCAGGGGCCAAGGCAGAGGTAATTAGGGGCAATCAGGTTGGCAGGGGAGGGCAGTTAGGGGGTGATCAGGCCTGCAGGGGAGAGCAGTAGGGGCATCAGGCTGGCTGGCAGAGGTGGTTAGGGGTGATCAGGCAGACAGCAGGTGAGCAGTTAGGAGCCAGTAGTCCTGGATTGTGAGAGGTGTAGGTCTCTCTTTCACGGCCTGCGTAGAAAGAGTTCCAATTCAGGGTTCAGGTTCTGGAGAAGGGCCACACACAAATGAAAAGAGACTTGAAGAAATTCAATTTGGTTATATGGGGGGCCAGGCGGCAGTCCAACTCTAGTGGGAGAACTATCCATGCTCTGGCCCTGCCATCCCCTTTTATTGAAGCTTTGGGGGAAAACATCTTAGGCAACATAAACAGAAATTTACATGTAGCTCCTAGGCAGGAAATAACAGAAACTTTCGAGGGACAAACTAGGTAGATTCTGCTTCAGCTAACAATATCTCAACTAAAGGTTAGAGCAATTAAGGTTGTTGACCAGCCTTCCTGGCTTCCTGTCAACATTTCTTTTTTAGTGAAACTGATTTGGTTTCCAGTAGAGAGGGATGTCCAACTGCCAGTTTAGGCCATTGGACACTTCCTGAGGGGTTCCAGATTGGAGAAGGTGAATGCTGGGCTGAGGGACACCCCCACCCCCATGCACAAATTTTGTGCACCATTAGTGTTAAGAGAACTTAACTGGTATGCACACTAACCACTATGATAGAGCCTGGTAAAGACTAACAGACTGAGAAGTCCTTATAGCAGAGTGGATGGGTTTGGAATGAAACAGATTTAGGTTAAAATCCTGGGCTGGTCAGTTAGCAGCTGTGCTACTTTGGGCAAGTTATTCCTCTTCTTTGGGCCTTTATAAATCTAGTAGACTGTCTGGGACACTGGTGACTTGCCTAGTGATTGTCATGGTAGTAGTAAGTGATATTACTATACTAGAGGCCCGGTGCACAGAATTTGCACACAGGGTGGGGGTGTGTGTCACTCAGCCCAGCCTGCACCCTCTCTAATCTGGGACCCCTCGGGAAATGTTTGACTGCTGGCCTGGACATCTTTCTTGCAATCTGGGACCACTGTCTCCTAACTTCTCACCTGCCTGCCTGCCTGTCTGATCAATCCTAACTGCCTCTGCCTGCCAGCCTGATACCCTTAACTGATCTCCCCTACAGGCCTGATCACCCCCTAACTACCCTCCCCTGCCAGCCTGATCACCCCTAATAGCCTCTGCCTCTGCCCCTGCCACTGTGGCTTTATCAGGAAGGATGTTCTGAAGATGTCTGATCTAATTAGCATATTGCCCTTTTATTAGTATAGATTGTATTTTTATTTTAAGTCCCTTCATTGCCTACTCTGATGTTTTATTAAAAAATATTAGCATAGGATTAATGTCTTCTTGGGGATTCTTTCAGCTGTAGGGTTGTAATATTCCTCCCCTGAAATACAGAGTGTGCAAACATAGGAGAGATGTTAAGTCCATAGGTGGGGCTGGCATTTGGAGATAGTTAGAGCTCTCAGGAAAGGCACATCTACCTTGACAGTAATCATAGCTCAGCCCCAGACCCTTATAAGATCAGGGGTTAAGTCACCCAGCAATATGGACAATTCATTTTACACCCCACATGTCCAGGTTGTCTGGTTTCCTCATGTGTATATAGAGTCAGGCTTCCTTTCAGGTTTTGTATAAAAGAGTTGGGGCAGATAACTGCTCTAGTGTCCACTCAGTCAAGAAGCACTGTTGTTTGACAGTACTTTCACTCCCAAATAGAATCTTTGTGTTAATTGGGGGGGGGGGAGTAGAACAGAGATACTAGAAAATTTAAGATAGTATGTGGCTCACATTTGTTGTTTTTATTTCATTTCTATGAGAAAGCTCGAGTGTATAACATATATTTGGGTGGTAGGGTAGGTGCATGTTCCACTTTATTAAGTATTACCTAATATTACCTGGACGGTGTGGCTCAGTGGTTCAGAATGTTACACTATGTGTTGTCTTCTAGGTTGAGACTTTCAACTCTTTGAAGATAGTAGTCTTCTCTCTGTGTCTAATGTTGCTGTTAAGAAGTTGGTTTATTTGTCAATCTTTAGCAACTGCATTTAAGTTTTGCTAAGTTTTTGTTGTTTCTGCAATGTGTCTAGACATGGAGTTATTAATTTACCAAGACAGATTTACTGT